ATCTCAATCTTGCTGCTGCTCCTCCTCCTCCACCCCACCTCCGTCCTGCTAAACCATCGCTAACGTAGTCGTCGTATTCGTCGTCGTCGAGGTCGTGGGCGTGGTCGTGGTCGTCGTCATCATCATCATCATCATCATCATCATCATCATCATCATCATCATCATCATCATCAGAATCATCATCAGAATCATCATCATCATCATCGTCGTCGTCATCATCATCATCATCACCATCACCACCACCATCACCATCACCATCACCATCAGCCAAATAATCATCATCATCATCATCACCATCATCATCATCATCATCAGCATCGCCAGAATCATCATCATCACCATCATCAGCATCAGCATCATCATCATCATAATCAGTATCACCATCACCATCACCATCATCATCATCATTACCACCACCATCACCATCACCATCATCGTCATCATCATCACCATCGTCATCGTCATCGTCATCATCATCATCATCATCATCAGCATCACCGTCGTCAGCATCACCATCAGCATCATCACCATCACCATCATCATCACCATCGTCTTCACCATCACCATCATCATCAGCATCATCATCATCGTCGTCATCGTCATCATTATCATCATCAATGTCATCATCGTCGTCGTCATCATCCTCATCACCATCACCATCACAAGCACATTCTCCATCACCATCAGCATCATCATTAGCATCATCATCATCAGCATCATCAGCATCATCATCAGCAGCATCATGATCATCACAATCAACACCATCATCATCACCATCACCATCGCCATCATCATCATCATCATCATCATCATCATCATCATCATCACCATCACCATCGCCATCATCATCGCCATCACCATCGCCATCATCATCAGCATCATCAGCACAATCATGATCAGGAGCATCATCATCATGATCGTCATCATCATCAGCATCAGCATCAGCACTGTCGTCATGATCAGCATTAGCATCATCACCATTATGATCGTCATCACCATCACCATCATCGTCATAGTCGTCATGATCGTCATGACCATCATCATCAGCATCATCAGCATGATCAGCATCATCACCAGAATTGTCATCATAACCCACATCACCATCACCATCGTGATCCTCATCATCATCATCACCATCACCATCATCATCATCATCACCATCATCGTCATCATCGTCACAATCATCACAATCATCACGATCACCGTCACCATCAGCGTCATCATCACATGCATCATCATCAGCATCAGCATCATCATCAACATCATCACCATCCTGACCACCATCGTCATTATCAGTAGCAATATCAGTATAATTATCAACGTCAGCGAAGTCGGCATCATACACCGGACTCACTTCTATAGCGCTCACTTCTATAGTGCTCACTTTGAAATTGCGGTCCGAAAGGGGCCGCACATGCAGGCACATGCCGCACAGTCGCATACACATGCCCATGCACATATACAAAAACCTCAACAGCATTGTCGCACATGCGCGCACATGCCACACCGTCGGACGCACAGTCGAATGCACGGCCAAGCAAACCTCTGAAAGCATAGACGCACATGTAGACGCACATGCCCGCACATGCCGCAGAGATGTCGCAGGCGATAGTGGCCTGACCACCTGAGCTCGGGGCATTTCGCAACCCAGAGTTGTGAGGATGTCTCAGGCAAGCGTGGCAGGACCACCATGGGGCAGGGCATCTTGGAAACCAGAGTGGCGAGGATGTCGCTGGTCAAGGTGACCAGACCACCATGGGCCATGGGGCAGGACACCTCCGAGGTCTGAGTTGCGAGGATGTCTTAGGCGAAAGTGGCCTGACCACCATGGGGCAAGAGATCTCTGACGTCAGAGTTGCGAGGATGTCTCTGGCGAGAGTGGTCTGACCACCTCAGCCCAGGGCGTCTCGGAACCCAGAGTTGCGAGGTGTCTCAGGCAGGAGTGGCCTGACCACCTGATCAGGGCATCTCGGAACCCAGAGTTCCGAGGGTCTCAGGCGGAAAAGGCCGAGACACTAGCCGCGCCTGTGCAGAGCGTGAGCGGGGCGCCCCGTCTGTCGGGGCCGCGCAATGAAGCGAACGCTGCGTCCGCGCGCGGCTTGCGCGCGGACGCGAATGCGCCGGCGCCCGGAGACGAACGTCGGCCCCGGCATTCTTGCACGTCCCGCACATGCCCCGCACAGGTACGCACAGTATTCGCACAGGCCGAGCTCTGCAGTGGCCGAGCCAGGCCAGCGATTCCGAGATTCCCTGAGCTCGGGCCGTCAAGCCACTTTCGCCTGAGACATCCTCACAACTCTCACCTCCTCCTCCTCCTCCTCCTCCTCCTCCTCCTCCTCCTCCTCCTCCTCCTCCTCCTCCTCCTCCTCCTTCGGCCGAACCGAACAGGCGGGCGGACCGGCCGAGCCGGGGGCGCCCGCCTCCTCCGCCCCCCCCTCCTTCCCCCCCCCTCCACCTCCCCCACCCCGCTCCTGCTTCTCCGGCCGAGCTGAGAAGGCGCGCGGGAGAGTATTTTACTAGGAGGGCACTCCACCGCCAGCTCACGAACCGGGCGAAGAACCACCCCCGCCAGCAGCGGGCGAGTCTAAACGCACAACGAACTCTTTCAGGAAGCCCTGGCACGCCCCAGGTTAGCTCTGCGAAGGCCAGGAGGCATTGGAGGCACAGGGGTCCCAGACAGCTCCTAGGGCATGAGCGTGCATGTGCATTGGGATGTGCACGCATGTGCGCCCGCGCGCCTCACCGCATGTGCGTGCATGTGCGGGCCCGCGCGGCCTCCCGAAGATAGGTTGCGCAGGCATGTGCGTGCATGTGCCGATGACAGATCTGCGATTCTCGAATACCTCCCGCATGTGCAGGCATGTGCGCGCATGTGCGTCGGACTGTGCGTGCATGTGCGTATGATGGATACACCAAAACACAGCGCACATGCCCCCGCACATGCCCGGGCTCGACGTGCACAGTAGGAAGTCCATCCAAGAAGGGCCGCACAGGCCTGGCACATGATTGGCACATGCCGCGCACATGCGCGCACATGACAGCGCAAAAACGGCCGCACATACACCCACACAGGGGTATAGATGTGAGTGCGGTGTAAGCATTGGTTTCACATATCATCTCCATCAGCATCACGCATCATCGTCAACACCACCACCACCACGGACAGCATCATCATGGTAATAATCATCGTCATCGTCAGCATCGTCATAGTCGTCATGTTCGTCATGATCATCATCATCATCATCATCATCATCATCATCATCAACATCAACATGATCAGCATCATCACCATACTCGTCAGCATCTTCATCATAATCCGCATTATCACAACAGCATCGTCGTAATCATTGGCGTCATCAGAAGAATCGTAATCATCAACATCAGCAGCATCATCATTGTCATCCTCAGTGATGGGGCTGGCCGAGCCCTGCCTGCGCCGAGCGTCGGAGCGCCAGCTGGAGGGGCTGCGCCGTCTCCGACGAGGGCTCCACCCAACGAGGAGCGCGGTGCTGGGGGAGCCCGCCCGCCTGGCGGGCCGAGGGCGGCCGCGGAGCCGCTCCCGAGAGCGGCGCGAGGCCGCGGCGTCGGGCGAGCGGGGCGAGGGCGCTGCTTCGGGCGCGAGGGGTAGGGGTGGGGCCTAAACCCGTGGTGCCTCCTGGGCGGGCAGCGGCCCTTTAGGCTTGCCTAAGGGGTGCCGTTGTCCCCGTGCGGCTCTTGGTTGCCCTGGTGCTCCCAGTTGTCGTGCGGGTCCAGGTTTCATCGCGGGCTTGGGTGCCTCCCCCTGCCCAGAGCGGGGGCTGTGCGACGCACGCCGTCCGCCGAGGGGGGATCATTGTCATCCTCAGCATCATCATCAATCTCACATCATCATCATCATCATCATCATCATCATCATCATCATCATCATCATCATCATCATCATCATCATCATCATCATCATCAGCAGCAGCATCAGCATCATCATCATCAACATTAACACCATCAACAACATCAGCCGCATCAGCAGCATCATCACTACCGCCATCATCAGCATGATCACCATCATCACCGCCATTCACACCATCTACAACATCATCAGCCTCGCCCACATCACCGCCGTCATCATCATATTACCCATCATCACCATCATCCGAATCATCAGCAGCATCAGAAGATTCATCATCATCAGCATCATCATCAGTATCATCATAATCATCATCACCATCATGGTCGTTGACACCGTCATCAGTATTTACAACATCAATACAATCTTCATAATTCCGCCCAAGGCCTCCGCTGCCTCCTCCTTCCGCTCCTACTCCTCCATCCCCATTCTGTCCTTTCGAGTTACCCCTCACTTTCGCATCGGCAAACGCGTCGCCAGGGCGGGTTGGGCGGTTCGCACAAGACTTCCTTACAATGGATGGCCCTGAAGCGTGAAAGGTGCAACAGTTTCACGGTTGGAGGGCGGGTGGGGTTCAAAATGTGGCGCTCGCCTTTACGCAGCGCACATTCGTCTCAAAACATTGCAGCAGTTACAGGGAAGGAGCACCAGTGGTTTTCAAATCCCATATCCTTTCATTGTTGTTCGCCTTCACCTCCGTTCCCGCTTCCTCACCCACTTGTGGTCCCCTCCTCTTCCGCCTCAGACACCGCGTCCACCTCCCCGGCTCCGCCTTCTCCCCCTCCGACTCTTTTTCTGCATGCGACTCCTCCGCCACCCCCCCACTCCTCCAAGCCTTGCTCGATCCCGCCTGCCGGTTGGCGGTTCGCCCCACTTGCGATCGCTTGCACGTCCATTCCCCGTGCACTATTCGATTTCGCGCGTACTTCTTGTTCGCAAGATGAGCCAGGATGCTCCTCGATGGCCCTCGCCGAAAACACCGAAAACATGCACACGTCCGAGTGGTGCCAAGCCCCATGAATGCCCCACATGGCCGCGTGCCCCGTGCGGTACAGCCGAGAGCTGCAGGGCTGACGTCGCCCGAAGGCGAGGGGCGGCTGGCGGCCAGCGCCCGGCGTCAATCGATCCAGCCGTAGTGCCCAACCTTCTCGCAGTGGAGCTCGAAACCTGCCCTCCTCCTCCGCCTCCTCCTCCTCACCCTCATCCTCCTCATCCTCCTCCTCCGCCTCTTCCGCCTCTTCCGCCCTCCGCCCTCCCCTCCTCCTCCTCCTCCTCCTCCTCCTCCCTCCTCCTCCTCCTCCTCCCCTCCTCCTCCTCCTCCTCCTCCTCTTCCTCCGCCTCCTCCTCCTCCTCCCCCTCCTCCTCCTCCTCCTCCTCCTCCTCCTCCTCCTCCTCCTCCTCTTCTTTTTCTTAGTATTAATAGTATTCTTCTTATTATTCTTATTATTATTATTCTTCTTATTATGCTTATTATTCTTCTTCGTCTTATTATTATTATTATTATTATTCGTATTCTTCGTATTATGCTTCTTCTTCTTCTTCTTATTATTATTATTATTATTATTCTTATTCTTTTTATTATTATTATTATTCTTCTTCTTTTTATTATCAGTATTCTTCTTCGTATGCTTATTCTTCTTATTAGTATTCTTCGTCTTCTGATTCATATTATTATTAGTATTATTATTAGTTTAATTATTATTAGTATTATTATTCTTAGTATTATTATTAGTCTTATTATTATTCTTATTATGCATATTATTCTTATTAGTATTATTTTTCTTCTTCGTATTGTTATTATTATTATTATTCTTATCATTCATATTCTTACTAATATTATTCGTATTATTAGTGTTATTCTTATTATTCTTCTTATTATTATTCTTCTTATTATTCTTATTAATATTCTTCTTCTTATTAGTATTATTCTTCTTATTCTTATTATTATTATTATTCTTATTATTATGTGTCTTATTATTCATATTATTATTATTCTGTTTATTCTTAGTATTCTTATTTTTCTTATTATTATTCGTATTCTTCTTCTTTTTCTTATTATTCTTCTTATTATTAGTATTCGTATTCTTATTATTCTTCTTATTCTTCTACTTATTATTCTTCTTCTTAGTAGTCTTATTAATATTATTATTATTATTATTCTGATTCTTCTTCTTCGTCTTATGCTTCGTATTATTATTCTTCTTATTATTATTATTCTTCTTCTTCTTCGTCCTCCTCCTCCTCCTCCTCCTCCTCCTCCTCTTCCTCCTCCTCCTCCTCCTCCTCCTCCTCCTCCTCCTCCTCCTCCTCCTCCTCCTCTCCTCCTCCTCCTCCTCCTCCTCCTCCTCCTCCTCCTCCTCCTCCTCCTCCTCCTCCTCCTCCTCCTCCTCCTCCTTCCTCCTCCTCCCCTCCTCCTCCTCCCCTCCCCTCCCTCCCCCCTCCCCCCTCCCCCTCCCCCCTCCCCCTCCTCCCCCCTCCTCCCCCTCCCCTTTCCCCTCCACAACTCAATATGAATACTACTCTCCTCCTTCCCGTGATGACGGTTTGGGAGTGTTTTCCCGCCCCCCCCCGCGTACTGTTTTTTACAAAGGATTCCCCAGAGTTGGGTTTTCGCCTGCATGTTTTTCCAAAATGCTGCTCTCGCTGAGGCGCCGGCCTCATTTTCGGGGCCCGCTCGTTGCGAATCGTGCTCCGGCGCTGGCCTCATTTTCGTGCTTCCGCTCGGTCCGAATCGTGCTCCCGCTGCGGCGCTGGCCTCATTTCCGCGCTTCCGCTCGTTCCGAATCGTGCTCCCGCTGCAGCGCTGGCGTCATTTCCCGCGCCAAGCCACGGCATGCAATGCAATGCTAGGTTGCGTTCCGCTGCGCGATGCCATGCCTTCAGCTGAAGCTGTGATATGCGGTGTTTCAGTGCCACGTCGTGCTATGCCGTGCTACGCTTTGATCTTCAACGCCATGCTATGCAAGGTAATGTTCGGGGCCGCTGTGCGATGCCATGCTTTGCGTTGCAAAGTTTTGTGATGCAAGTCGTCACTACGCCACGCCACGCCATACTGTGACATACTACGCTTTGCGGTGCTCTTCTACGCCATGACATGCCGTGTTCTACAATGCATCGCGTACCCTTTCGGGATCATTGCCCAGCTCGACATCCGACTGTGCGAGTAGAGAGGGGATCTACGCCATGGTAAGGGATGGGAGGGAGGGGTAGGATGTCAGATATGACGCGAGCGCACCTAGCTTGTCCCCCTCCCCCTCCCCCTCCCCCTCCCCACCCCCCCCCCCTCCCCCCCCCTCCCCCCCTCCTCCACAATTACTCAATATGAATATACTCTCCCTCTTCCCCTGATGGCGTCCGGGTGATGGCCGCGCACCCTCCGCGTACTGTTTTTTAACACACAGGATGCCTGGGAAATCCCGGGAAACGACTCTCGCTGAGGCGCCGGCGTCATTTTTTCTCAAAATGCTGCTCTCGCGCCGGCGTCATTTTTTCCCAAAATGCTGCTCTCGTTGAGGCGCTGGCCTCATTTCTGCTCCCGAATCCTTCCCCTGATGGCGTCCGGGTGATGGCCGCGCACACTCCGCCTACTGTTTTCTTTCACACAGGATGCCCGGAAAATCCCGGGAAACGACTCTCGCTGAGGCGCCGGCGTCATTTTTTCCCAAAATGCTGCTCTCGTTGAGGCGCCGGCCTCATTTCTGCTCCCGAATCGTTCCGAATCGTGCTCCCGTTGCAGCGTGGGCCTCATTTTCGGATCGGTGTTTGGCCTCCGTCGTTCAGGATGGCGTTCTCGCCCCAGCGCGGGCCTTTTTCTCGCGCGCCCATCCGCCCGCCACCACCGCGCGCCGCACCGCCACCACCAACACCACCACCACCAACCACCACAACCACCACACCAGCACCGTACCACACCACCACCACCACCACCACCCACCACCACCACCACCACCCACCACCACCACCACCACCACCACACCACCACACCACCACCCACCAACCACCACCACCAGCACCACCACCACCACCACCAGCACACCACCACCACCACCACCACCCACCACACCACCACCACCACCACCACCACCACCACCACCACCACCACGACAACCACGCACACACGCACGCACGCACGCACGTGCACCACCACCCACTACGCACGCGCGCGCGGAGCCACAGGTCCGCTACGACACGCGTCCGCGGATAGAGAAAATCAGCGCCATGGTAAGGGATGGGAGGGAGGGGTAGGACGTCAGATATGACGCGAGCGCACCTAGCTTGCCCCTCCCCCCCCCTCCCCCTCCCCCTCCCCTCCCCCCTCCGCTCCTCCTCCCCCTCCCCTCCTCCTCTCCCCTCCCCCCTCCTCTCCTCCTCCTCCTCCTCCTCCTCCTCCTCCACCGCCTCCTCCTCCTCCTCCTCCTCCTCCGCCTCCGCCTCCGCCTCCGCCTCCGCCTCCGCCTCCGCCTCCGCCTCCGCCTCCGCGGACTCGGCGCATACGGTGTGCAGAGTTGGGATGCCCTGGCGATGATGTACAGAATGTGGGAGCCGAAGGTTTTGCCGACCGTCATCAGCTACAACGCTCTCTCCAGCACGTGCGAGAAGGGCAATCAGAGGCAGCGGATCCTCGCTGCAGAGCCAGATGGGTAGGCGCGAGGCCGACTGCATCAGCTACAATACTCGGATCAGCGCGTGCGAGAATAACGTCTGGAGGCAGCAGGCAGGCAGGTGGGAGCAAGTCGCGGCCCGTCGGCGCATCATCATTTTCAGTGTTGTCATGGGCCTCGTTAGCAAAAGACAGTGGCTGCAGCATTTCAATTCGTATTTCGATATTTTAGCTGTCACTGCATGGCGATTCCTTGGTTCGTGGGATGGGAACGTGCCGGCCGTCCGTATTCTGAGCCGTGACTTTGGTGGTGGCGTTGGTAGTCAGCCTTTCACTTTCTGCTTGGATGGGGACGCGCCGGCCGTCCGTACTCTGAGCCGTGCATCAATGGATGGCTGTTTCAATGGATTGGATTAGACGTGCCATGCTACAACACTGCGGTCAAGTGTGCTTGGCCAATTGGATCACAGTTTTTCCCGCTCATCGTGTAGAATGTCTCGGTGGGCAAGCAGGTCTGGGGCTCCAGATGTTGGTGGCTCTTCTTCTGATCGACTGGGGCGAGGCGGTCTGTGGGCGAGGCGAACTCCTCTCTTATGGGGAGTTAGCCCAGTGATCGACAGTGTTGCTTCGGCGGCACGGCTAGGGCCTCATAGAGTCAAACTCACTTCAGCTTAGCCATTGGTCATATCAGTGCGGAGTCATTTCAACGGTTCTGTCTCAGGTCTTTTTCAATTGGCAGCTTCTTTGTGGATGGGAGAAGGAGTGAACTCATTTGTGTTGTCACGCGACGTGACTTGATTTTCTGAGAAGCTGGCTGCTCTCAATGGGGAGGGATTCATCCGATGTATCATCTGTGTTCCTCGAGCTTCTTCGTCTTACGTAGTTGGTGTTGGTTCCTGTTCTACGCCCTCGGGTTCGTCAGCTTCAATTTCGAGCTCAGAGGGGAGTAGCCCGATTCAACCCGAGCAATGCCTCAGGTAGTGGTCGGGTGCCGTTCACTTCGCTTCGCGATCGGTCCTATCCTATCCTATCCTATCCTATCCTATCCTATCCTATCCTATCCTATCCTATCCTATCCTATCCTATCCTCCTCCACCTCCTCCACCTGCTGCTCCTCCTCCTCCTCACCTTCCTCCTCCTCCTCCCCCTCCTCCTCCTCCTCCTCCTCCTCCGCCTCCGCCTCCGCCTCCGCCCCCCCCCATCCACCTCCGCCTCCGCCTCTCCGCCTCCTCCGCCTCCGCCTCCGCCCTGCCTCCTCATCCTCCTCCTCCTCCTCCTCCTCCTCCTCCTCCTCCTCTTCCTCCCTCCTCCTCCTCCTCCTCCTCCTCATCCTCCTCCTCACCTCACCTCCTCCTCTTCCTCCTCATCATCATCATCACCACACCACACCACCACCACCATTCATCATCATCATCATCATCTCATCATCATCATCAGCATCAGCATCATCATCAGCATCAGCATCAGCATCATCATCATCATCATCATCATCATCATCATCATCATCATCATCATCATCATCATCATCATCATCATCATCATCATCATCATCATCATCACCATCATC